AATCATTTCATTCATTCATTTTCAGAGACAACAAACTTATTAGACGACCGAGGTTCTTTGTTTTAAAATACTCAGCTATATCCTAATTACTAACTTTCATGTATTATATAAAATATTTCACGTTAATTACATAAAGTACAAGGTTGTCGGTCCATCTAGTAGGTGGCCGTCCCACACTGCGATTGCCAGTACGTGTCCATCTATTGGAGAGGCCTATGTTCAGCAGTGGTCGGCGATAGGCTGAAATGATGACATAAAGTACTTAGCAGTGATATACAACTTATCTTATTGACGACTATTACTAATCACTAACTGACATTTTTGCTAAGACTATCGTTTGTATGTTTCTTCATCTAGCTTCATATAACAGACTTGGCACTCGATGCTTTAGCATGGCTCAAGGTCTCATTATACTGGTTACGTATTCATGGTAGCTCTAGGCGGACCTGCGTCCAGTTCTGTCCATTTATCATTTCAGGCGAGTATGCTGAGTGCGTTACCGTGTTCGGCCAGATGAGAAGGGGGTGGTAGCTCTTTTATTTCGTTTGTTTATTCCGTTTTAGTCACGTCTGCTACGATAATAACTGCGAATGTGGCGATATATTGTGTGTATCGGATATTGCTGTATCAGTTTCGTGTTGTCCGTGATCAATGTTTTCAATTTTAAGCATATCGATGCACTTACGTGCTCATCTTTGTTTCGCGTTTATTTGTTTCTCAGAAACGGACGCGTCAGGTTTTGTTGTTATATTATGATTCATCACTTCTTATGTCGTTTTTTTTCAGTGTGAGGAAATTATTTATTCATATCTTTTTTTTTTTTGGTTTGTTGTAATGGTCATTGACTTTAATTGTTTTCAGTATTCGTAAGACGAGACGAGAGTTTTTTTTTTCATTTATTTTAACGAGTTAACGGCCCACCTAGTTTTAAGCCGAGCCTGTATGAATGCCGCCTCTCACCTTGAATTATGAGGCCTAAATAAAGTTTAACGGCTGTACGAACGCATGACTGCTTCCAGGCAAAAACCAATAGGGTGGTGGTCACTACTGGTGCATTTGTACGATGAATTATATTTGACTCAGTTCATCGGCAAAAAAACGACAAACAACCTCACGTTCCAACTAGTAAATGGATTTATCAATGCCTATTGAGACCCTCAACAATAGCTCAAATCTGGAGTCCTCTCTAGTCTGCATGTCGCGAACAAAATCCTTAACATTTCTATCGACTCCTCGATACTTCAAACCGCCACCCACATTTGTTTCAAGAAAGGAAAAATATCTCCCACGTAAATTATGAACGATATATCTCTCTGAATAACATGACCATTAACGGCATTCGCCAGGCGCAAGTTCGCAAGCTGACAACCACCTTATCATCAATTTGTACTAATTTATTCCACGGACTATCTTAATAGTCTATTTTAATATTCTTAACAAGTGCACCTGCTTCTATTATAACAATATAAATTCTAAAAAAATACTTATTTCGTATAAGTTTTCTGTATTGAGTTTTTATAATTTGCTCCTGTGTTTTTTTATATCCTACCTAAGTTGATAGCCTTGAGAGGCTATTTCAGCGTAAGCTTAACTAGTAGGTGAGATCACGGGGCTCAAACCGGAGTGATGCTAACACTGACCCTAGCAAGAGCAGTGCTTCGCAGAATCTACCACCGGACTGGAAACGCGACGCACTTAGAAGATCCGGCGAGAAACTCAGTGGGCTGTCCTGTGTTATGAACGCCTAAAACGCATGGGATACAAGGAACATGGCCACGAAAACCTCAAATATCTCATAACTTTCAAAAACTATCTATACAACAATAGCTCTCGGCACCGTCTCCTTTGTATTGAAATATACGGTTGGAGTATTTTCGAAAATCAACACTGGCCAGATTAGCACAATTAAAACAACTTACAACATCCGTCTCGGCATTATTGTAACATTTAATATTGCAGACAATAATAAAAACTGTTACAAAAATACTGCAATACAGCTAGCCTATAGCTCTAATCCTTATTTTCGAATCTCGCTTGTTTTTTGTATTTATGGCTAAGATCGATGGCCGAGCTCACGGCCCACCTCGTGTTAAGCGGTCCCCGGAGCCCATAGACATCAACAACGTAAATGCCAGCAGCCACCATGAGACAAGAGTTCTAAGTCTCAGTGTTTCAATATGACTGCCTCACTCTGCATACCTTAAAGCCACGTCCTTACGGATCCATCAGATCCAATAACTCTTGCATTAGATACCTTCAGCTTTAACACTAGGAGCAGGCCGAGGAACCCCGGTAACCGTACATGCATCAGCCCGCTGAGTTTCTCGCCGGATCTTCTCAGTGGGTCGCGATTCCGATCCAGTAGTAGATTCATTCGCGAAGCAATTGCTCTTGAGTTGTTAGGTCTCCTTCGGAGGCGCTCGGGCAGTTGTTAGCAAATACCACCCCTCCTGGCTGAGCCTTTGCTCGCCCACCTGTCCTGGTGAAGCTGGAAAGGCCTCCGGGCCACCAGTAATCTTTCAATCATCCTTAAGGCGTTACTGCTTCACGGCACAAATAGGCAGGGTGGTGTCATAATCTAGAATTTTTCTCTTCTTTTTTCGCTGTCAAGTTTTTTATGTTCACCTTTCGATATATTTATTATTGGAATAAGTCAGGTGTCGGGACACAGTTAGCGCACCTGATATTTTACACAGTGACCTTTTGACAAATGCAAGTATGCAAAACTTTTATCGGTCGCCTCGATCGCACGATCGTAAATGAATCGGCGACGGGTGCGACGCCCGTGTGTCCTGCTCGCCCTTTTGGACGATGCCTCGTGAACTACACACGGTGCCTTTAATAGGAGGACAACGTAAATTTATTGCGTGCTTTTTTATTACATACATTGAAAATAATTTTTACGTTACTATGTACTTATAACACACAAGGAGGCTAGCATTGTTTATTTTTTTGTAATCCAAAAATAGTGGATCAGTTGTAATTTTTATGTTGTTCAGTTATTTTGGTTTCAATAATATTAACATTTTTTTCTACGAACAAGAAATAATTAAGTTACATTTTTGGCACGCGAAAGACACACAAACACAAAAACAAACTTGTGCTTTTATGTTATTCTTACGAATTTAATTGGATTGTTTCTTTTTTTTTAACAATCACAAGTAGTCTTCTGTCTTTCCCTCCTATCTACAAGCCAACCCACAGATCTGCCCATTACGCAACTAGTTAGGTTGGTAAATCGTTCTAATCAATCTCTCGACTAAGTACTACCGAAAATGAACGAATATTCAATATTATCGTTGTCCGAACAGCGTCGCCGTGTGTATCGTTCCGCAAAACTAACGACCTTAGCTTTACGACACGTAATTACGTTACAGACCGGCAATTATTAGCATAACAAAGTTTTCCACTTTGGTGCATCGAACGCTATACGTTCGCTGACAAAAGAGTATCTCGCCTTTGTGATAATATTATGTGCGTCGTCACGAAACCGGTCTCCCCACAACGAGCACTGCAAATAAATTGAGTTTTCATTAGACCAGAGAGAATTTCAGCCGATACGTTTTGTCTTTCGGAAGCCTGATATTTAAATTATCACATCAGCGGTGTCAGGGCTACGCGGGGAAATCGACGCCTACATCCAAAAACGTTATCTGTGAGCGTCGCCTGAGAAATAGTTTCCCGCGATTTTAAATTGTACGCATTATTTTCGTATTCAAATACATTTTCATGTCCCGTGTCACTAAATTATTATGTTGTCACTTTCTTTCATCACAAATGTTATACGTAAGTGTCAATTAAGCTGTTCTTTATACATTGAATACAAAAGAAAATTTAATTTGACGCATAATGTAATTTCCGATCCTTACATTAGCACGGATACGAAACCTGAAATATCAACAGGAATTACTGAATATTATAAACGGTGTGTTAGATTCTTCCCCAAAATACGATAGGGAGATTAGTGCGGATTGGATTACGGGTTCAAGAAACGACAAATATTTAGCTTTGCCTAGACGAGTAATAGTTTTCAGCTTATATTGAGATAATAAATGATCATACGCATTTTTTTTATTGCCCTTGTAGGCAGACGAGCACACAGCCCACCTGATGGTGAGTGATTACCGTCGCCCATGGACTTCAGCAATGCCAGGGGCAGACCCAAGCCGCTGCCTAGAACGGCTGCCCTCTCGATTCCTTGAAACGAACCTCGAATTTGCTTTTAATAAACCTAAAAATAAACCATAATGAACTGACATTGTCTGATTAAACGCGTATTTATTTGGAAACGTTGAAAGGCCTATAGCTGTCGTTGACTAAGGGAATAAAGTCTTGTGCACTTTGATGTCGGCTGTAGTGGCTGTGGAGTGCGGCCCGAGGGTGGCGAGGGGGTGAGGCGGAGGGGCGGGTGGGGCGCGGGCGGGTGCGGCCCTACATCGCGACGCGCCGACGCGGACGTGACCTACAAACCGTACGTACGTACACCACACGTAAACAATTCGTAGATTAGATATTATTACAATGGATCGAAGCGTGGGCCGAACCACGTGGTGATCATAAGTTGTTTTCCACATCAAATCAGTCATACGGTAACAAGCCAAACCATAAGCTACTTAAGAACTATAATCGCTAAACAAACTATTGGAGCTGCAGTTTGGTCTGGTTAGTACAATAATTGAATATAATTTCTCTTTTCAGTTTTAGTTATAAACAATAATAAAATTCGAAAACCAAAAATAAAACAATAGTAACGGCCGTTTTCAATAACGTATCTGAGTTTTCGGATAGATAGCTATCTCCGAATATCAGCAAGAGCGTATCTACCCTTAGTTTGCGTTTCACAATCACGGATAAGTACTATCTCTCTTTAACCAACAGTAGATAGCTTCTTCCCTCCGATTTATCCGAGCCTCTTGATACGTTTCGTTCTACTACAAATACGAAACAACATCAGGATCAAGACTTATTTTATTTTATTCTAAATTATAACTATAATTTAACCAGCATATTGTAGACTATCATAAACACATTTGTTTATAACAAAAAGTAATAAAAACATATGTAGATTTTTTTAAATTGGACGTATTGCTATTTTTATCCTAGTCGAAATTATGAAACGAAACGTTTTGACAGTCCGTTTGCCAATAAGCAGTGATCAGTTTCTTTTGTTTGTTTTTCTATTGTTTACCTACTATATTAGATGATGACTTACCTCCAAAACGCTTTAAAACTTTCGTTTATAATTCTAAGTGTGTTTATAATTAAAGAGCTACAGTGAAATAAAATGAATTCTGTAAGTATCTATGAACTACATTGATAATAATAATTTTACTTTGAAAACTTTGAGTTCAAGTTTAGAAAATATATCTTTTTCATTCTAGCAGAACTTGTGGCGGCGAAAAAACATTTCAATAATAAGGCAACAAATGCCACTAACAATAAATTGAAGGAGCAGGCTTGGCAAATGATTTTAATTCGTCGATTCGTCGTTTCCCACGAACTCCATCGCAGCTTCGACTAAAATGGGAAAACTTAAAGAACGCTACGGCAACATAAGAAACAACCTTAGTAAGGTTAGTATAATTAGTTGATTGTTTGTCTCTAATAACACATTGATAAACATGATTTTTTCTTCAGGTTGCCGTAGTATTTGAAATAATTATGCTCTTTGTTACAGGCTGGAGGTGGTAAGGATTGCAGATGAAATTTTGGATAAAGCATGCACATTGTTGTAGGTCACATATAATATTTTTAACACTTTTACAGCCAAGCGGAAACAAGATGGAAGAAAAGAAATGCAAGGCTAGCATAGGGACAATGCATTAGCAGAATATCTAATAGCAAAAAAGAGACTTGACTTGGAAAATAAAGAAAAGGAGATTGTTGTAGCAAAAGTTAAGTTAGATTTAGATAATTTAAAAAATTAAAAATTACTTAAAAGGAATATTAAATTTCATAAATTAAGTAGGCAATAATAATTTTATGTTAGATAGTTTTTTAAGTATATGTACAAATTCTAAATTAAATATCTTGCATGTACTAACTACCATGTAATTATCATTTTGGAAAATAAAAAATAGTCAAATTATCTTTGGAGTTTATTTTATAAATTATCTTTGGAAGCAATTATTTATAAGTACATAGTTGTATTTCAGATGTAAGTTTTGAAAAATTGTTACGAACAATTATATTATTTTCCTGTAATGTATCTGCGACTGAAATTTCTGATTCTAATTCTTCTAAATTCATACTTCTGACGATATTATGCAGCATGGCAGCTATAATAACAGCTTGCATATTTTCTAGTTTTAATCTACTTTTCAATGATATACAGGGAGTCTTCTTTTACAAACACCAATGCATCTGAAAATTATACATTATTCGCTTAAATTATTTTACAATACAGTATAACAAGCTCTTAACTAAAAAAAAAGATTACCTCTCTATAGTATTTCTTGTTTTAATATGTGATTCATTTTAAATCGTTCCGATTGAGTATGTGGGTTAATTAATCACGTTAAAAGATAGGGTTGTGGGGATAGCCTCTATCGGCAAGCAAATAGCAATTTCCAAGTCCACCTTGTTATCAATGTTCTCTTGATATGTAGATAATTTATTATAATAGTGTCATATTAAATTCATATAAACACCTAAATATATAATATAAATAAATAAAAATATAATAATAATAATATAAATAAGGTAATATAAATAAGAAATACCTTTTCAATCGGAATGGTTAATTATAGTTGTATCATGAGTAGACCCAGGCCATCAAGCAACAACATTTTGAAACATCAATGATGCATTGCACACAAATTACACATTCAAAATACTCTTTTTCTATTTCTAAATTCCTCTCCTATATTTGAATCTGTAACACAAATATAAAATGTAGAGGTATCAGTGTGTAATAAGAATGAAGGTAAATAGCCTACCAGGTTATTGTATTAGTATATGAATGTCATTTAGGGCACCATGGGAATCCAGCAGTATTATAGAATTCCTGTTGAGTGTGATTTTGTAACACAACAAAAATTAGGTATAATTTTGCTATTGCTATAAACAAATATAAGTTGTAATAACGAGTACTTTTATGGTTAAAATTTATCTTACCTTTTTGACGTTACACTCAAATATGGTCTCATTAAATTAATCAATTCATTCACAACACCTTTGCTCAGAAATCTATAGTCAAATTCGTAATTATTGATCTTCGCCATGTAATTCAGACGATCTTTATTTTCCTAACCATATGATATCGGCCTCACTATCACTATCTGCATCACAATCCATTATCATTTGAAATAATTCCATATCACTATCATCACTGCTACAATATGCCAATATGAAGAGAAACAATTATTAAATTATAGCGATTTACTTTCGAAAGATAAACATGTAACCGGCCGATTTTGACAGATAAGCGAATGCCCATACTAGAGATAGCGCCGCCTACCGGAGAGTTACTTAAAACTCATATTGAAACGGAAGTAAGCACGATTTGTATGAGCGTTCTATCTTTAGCAGGCTATCCGTCCTCCCGACGATGGATAGATAAATCCGATAGGAACTGCTGCCCGTCGATAGGTTATTGGAACGTAAGTAAGGACAAAAATATAGATTTGTCTATCTTTAGTAACCGAAACTAGGGATAGATAGGTTATTGAAAACGGCCGTAAGTCGTCGAACCTTATGTAATAGACGCTGGCGATGTCGACGGCTAGACAAAAGCGAGAAATAGCTTTACGAAATAGCGAACCATGTAATAAAAGCATTTTAAAAAATAAGATCTTCTCAAAAAACCTATGCTGCTTTCCATTTCCAAACAACATAAAACAAATTGCAAACCTTTCTCTCTTAACCTCTTCGGGGACATTGGCACATATGTATGTATGTGTAAGTTGGGTTTCTTTTTTATTATTTATATATTAAACTCTGCGAAAAAATTCCACAAAAGTGGACGTATTGCTTTTAAATAATATGCTATTGCTTGCTTTTTTTTTACTTACTGATTGATCTGTTTACAATATACAATTAAAAAATAGCAATAAAGAATAAAGTAAATTAAGGTTTTTTGTACTTTAAAAGTTTCGTCTCTAAAGAGGTTAAATTCAGGTGAACACTCAAATTTTCAATGTTTTCAAAATCGTTCTATCTACATAGATATAACATGTCTATTGTATATACGAATATGAAACAGAATATTTACGGGCGACTCACCCCCGCGATTAGGCGGAAGGCGTTTCTTTGACTCACTGCCTCGCTTTAGAATTTGAATTATTAAATTCACATCACAAGGAATAGGATTTGGCTTTCATTCGTCGAGCGAACATCTTCGAAGCCCGGTCGGGACCGCACACGTAGACAGTGTTAATTACAATGTCGTGTTATGCATTTTCGTGTTGAACGTGTTAATAGTTGAACATTAACATGTAAATGTATTTCTTAAGCGTTCTTTTCCGACGAGGAGTTGTTATTAAATTTGTTTCTTCTTCTTCTGAGTCGGTCTCTTCATTGCCGACGGTCGTGTCTAGTTTGTATTGTTGATCACTCGATGCACAATGCTTCCCCACATCTTTCTGTCCTCAGCGGTCTTTATAGGCTCGGTTATTGGCAGGCCGGTGACCGTCTTTACTAAATCTGACCAGCGGGTAGGTGAGCGTCCGCGTGATCTTCTCCCGTCAACCTGACCAACTACCATCAGCTTCTCTAATTTATAGGGGTCTCTACGAGCGATGTATTGCGAATTTTGTTTATATACAATTATTTATATTTGCGTGAAAACGGCAAGTATTTTAATGTTTTCCAATCACGTTGATGAAGTTGATGTTACTAAATAAACCAATCAAAATGATCAAATCGATGTTACAAAACGTTTAAACTGTTTTGAAAAAATATTCTATAAAATGTACAACAATAAATAAATTTGTAGACAGCGGCTAGGCATTGCTGACGTCCATGGGCGACGGTAACCACTCACCATCAGGTGGATTGTATGCTCGTTTGCATACAGAGGTAATAAAATAAATAAATAAAAAACACGTATGGCACTCGGGGACTGTCGTGGTAAAGCTATTGCAAAGCATTTTTTATCAACTTATGCAATTATAATTAGACAATAATAATTTAATATTAAAACAATAATAAAATAATACCGGGCTATATTTATAAACATTAACAAAAACAAAACATTTAACTGTCCCCTTCACACTCAAAAGCTAGACCGCGCAAGAGAGAGATGGGCAGACTTATTATAATGCGCATGCAGTGCGACGTCACGCCGCGCGCTTATTCACAAACACTACACAAGCGCATGTGTGAATGTGTTGAACGCGAGCTACACTGTAGGCGGGGTGGAGGTGTTAAGTTTTATTTTTGTTACGGAATTTCTTGATTCGGTCGCCGCGCTCAAAGCCCGCGATAAAATCTATGCAATATCATAAAAAAACTAATAAAATATACTTTTATACAGTATTGAAATGTAGCTAGTTTTTAACTTTAAGATGAGGTGGTTAGACCACGTCTTCTAATGTTTCTATCAATCGCTCGGTCAGTCACCTACACGCTATAAAGATAAGAAGTCCACTAAAACTCGTAGATTGCGTGTTGCTAAAATCTTCTATAAATCGACTCTAACTATAATCAACTAGTTGTAATATAATATATAAACTGGGAACATAGCACGCACGGTAATCCGACCCCAAATGAGGAATCCCAGTGATAAAGGTAACAGAGACTGACATACATACGTTTAATTAAAAACATACATAATTAAACATACATTTACTGGTGGTAGGATCCTCTTGTGAGTCCGCACGGGTAGGTACCACCACCCTGTTTATTTCTGTCGTGAAGCAGTACTGCGTTACGGTTTGAAGGGTGGGGCAGCCTTTGTAACCATACTGAGACTTTAGAACTTATATCTCAAGGTGGGTAGCGCATTTACGTTGTAGATGTCTATGGGCTCTGGTAACCACTTAATAGCAGGTGGGCTGTGAGCTCATCCGCCCATCCATGCAATAAAAAAAATTAAAAAAAAACATGAATAATAAACACACAAACAAACCTATTCATCACACGTCTTTGTCCAATAGAACCTACGACCCTTGGCGCAACAGTAAGGGGCCTTAACTTCGCATACCGAGCACCACCGAGTCAGTCTATAATAAGTGTAATAACAACTAGTTTAACTGTAAGTATAATCAAGATAGTTACAAATTAAAATATTAACATTTTTAATGTCACTACTAAATCGATTGTCAATCGCATCGAATTAATTAATCGATTGAAAATATACGTACTTCTAATTTACATAAAACATCGATTTCCTAAATACATTTTGCAAATAGTACATAAAATAATACATTAAAAAGTTATCTTTGGTTATTTCAGTTTCGCACGGGTGGGTTACCACTGCTTATTACTACCACGGAGCAGTCATGCGTTCTGATTTGAAGACCGAGACAGCTGTCGTACAAAACCATTGAGACTGCGACCTCATGTCTCAAAGCGTATTGCGACAATTACGCTGTATATCTACGAGATGCGATACCTACTTAACACTAAAAGGTCGGTGAGCTCGATCAACTATCTATACAAAAAAAAAAAAAACTACTTTGTATATAAAAATACCCACAAATATACATAAATACGTATCAGCCGTCAATAATAATATACATTCGGTTGTATAATAGAGGAAACCATTAAAATATATTTAATCTAAACTTCCAATAAATATTTAATAGAATTGCTTTATTAAACACTTTTTTTTTTCTAACATTCTAATGTATTTATTCAGGATGCGTTCGTAACCAGACAAACACATTCTCGAATTACCAAATCAAGTATACTCATGTGCTGTAAGTAGGTATGTACACCGGAATAATTAAAAACAGCTTTTTTGCTACATCTTATTTCCATTTCATCTTCAGGTTGCTTTTTAATTAACATGTATTTTTTATTCTAA